TTGTTTGTTTGTTTGTTTGTTTGTTTTTGCCTCTATTCACACACAGGGGCCAAACACTTAGATGCCACTGCCTGCTTATCGTAGAGTCCAGAAAACCTCTGACCTCATAACTTTGAGTTTCTGTTTCTGATCTAAAGAGAGCTTTAGAGAATGCGTTTTTCTATTTTTCTCTTTTCATATTTTATGTTACCCATGTTCATTGCATGTTTGAGTAGAGGGATGTAAACAAGCATAAATATACATTTAAAATGTAAGTTTATAAGTTTTTAATTATAACTTAGATGTAAAAGTATAAACTTTATGTGCTTTGTGGATCCTAGCTGTTCATATCTAATCTTGTAAAAATATTTACAGTCTATTTTTTTCTAAGTAAAAGAATAATTGGTCTGGGTGCCATGGCTCACACGTATAATCTCAGCACATTGGGAGTCCAAGGCAGAAAGATCACTTGAGCCCAGGAGTTCCAAACCAGCCTGGGGCAACATAATCATAATGAGACCCCACCTCTACAACAAGATAAAAAAAATAGGCAGATGTGGTGGCATTGCTTGTAGTCCTAGCTATTCTGGAGGCTAAGGTGGGAGGATCGCTTGAGCTCAGGAGGTTGAAGCTGTAGTGAGCTGTAACTGGACCACTACACTCCAGCCTGAGTAATAGAGTGAGACCTTGTCTCAGAAAAAAAGAAAAAGAATAATTGAACCAATATTAAGTTCTAGACTATTTTTCTACATCCAATAGCAGCAGCAGCATATAATGGGTACACATACTGACTGGGCTAAGCATTGCGCAGAAGACATTTGCTAGGTTTAGAGATATGTGGGAATAGTAAATTATCACAGTCTTTTCCCTTTCTGAACCAACTTAGAAACAGGATACAGATCAAAATATAATCGGTAAAGTTTAATTGAAGGATGGCTTTAACTTGATTCTCTATCCTTCTGACTTCCTTGGTTAGCCTTGGGACCTGCTATGAGAAGAGCAAGACATTTAGCAGGTCTGCTACATGAACCTTTAAGCACAGAGGATCCATCCCACCCTCCATCCACCTGGACACACATAAAGGCCACATATGCTCAATGATTTTTGCCATATTAATTACATTCCACTGGGAAATGTAGGCCAACATTTGTCTACCTTTTCATTTCACCAATCATTTCACCAAAGTGGGAAAAGTTGACCCTCTTTTTCCCTGGGGAGAAGTCAGTAAGAGATGAAAACAAAGCAACAGCATCCTTCTATTTACTAATGTATAAGATAATTACCTGGAAGTTTTGTGAAAGTGCAAATCCAGTAGGTCTGGGGTCTAGCCTGAAATTTTGCATTTCTAACCAGCTCTAGGTCATGCAGATGCTGGTTTTGAGTAGCGAGTTTCCAGAGCAAGATTTGTGAAGCTTTTTCAGGAGAGCCCCAAGATTAAAAAAAAAAAAAAAAGGCCGAGGTGGGCGGATCACAAGGTCAGGACATCGAGACCACGGTGAAACCCTGTCTCTACTAAAAATACAAAAAATTAGCCGGGCTCGGTGGCGGCGCCTGTAGTCCCAGCTACCCGGGAGGCTGAGGCGGGAGAATGGCGGGAACCCGGGAGGCGGAGCTTGCAGTGAGCCGAGATCGCGCCACTGCTCTCCAGCCAGGGGGACAGAGCGAGACTCCGCCTCAAAAAAAAAAAAAAAAAAAAGTTCTTATAACAACACAAAGATACTACAGTGGAATTTCCTGGAGAGTACACGTGATGTTAAAATGATTAAATACAGGATATGATATTAGAATCCAGCTATCTTCTATAAAGAAACTTGTCAATATATCAAACACCACCATTTGTTTCATTAGTTCTTTTTAGTTTTGGAGAATATAATTATTTGCCATAAAAGTGTTACCTACATTAGCATATAATAGTTGTGGTATTGTTATTAACAAATATTTATTTTTTCAGTTGTAATTTCTAGTGCGGTAAATATTAGCAGATATAACCTACATAAACAAAAGTTCTGGGGGTCCTAGAGAGTTTTTAAAAGCATAAAAGTGTCCCAAAATATTTGAGATTCACTGCTTTTTAGAGGATGGAAGTTTATTTCTCCTTGGTCAATAGACATATAAAGAAAGAGAAAATACGCTCTCCTACTCTTACAGATATGTCAAGAAAATATTGAGAACCCACATGTTTTAAAATACCACCTTAGCTCAACGTACTTGTGGACATTTTTGAAGGGAAAATAATTTTGGCTGTGTCTTATGCTCTTTTTAATGGAATGTCAATAAACATTCAGCGAGTTCCTATTCAAGTTCCTTAATATTGGGAAATGGCAGAACAGGGAAACAAGTGAGTCTTAATCCCAAAATATGCTGCATTGCCATAAAAGTGGATGAGTCAGTTTATCCTTGGCTTCCATAAATCCTGGTGTTTTCTTACCCATCTCATGGATGAATATTTGGGAAAGTATTTTCTTGTAACATAGGCCAGTATTTTCTTTATTAAACGTATTATTTATTTTCTATGAGTTTCTTCCCGTCAAGAGAACACATGTGGGGCAGTAAGTCAAACAATGCATTTGTTGATCTCACATGTGGCAAAAACTATAAAATGTTTCTGGAAGTCTAAAAGCAACATTTATTACAGGTATCCCTAGTTTAGCTGCCTACAACTTGCCTTTACCAACTGTAGCTTCGTTGAAATGTTTGCACTCTTGACTCTCTCTCTTCAACCTCATTTTAACGGAACCTCACAGATATGGGTTTTTTTGTGTGTGTAATAACACATTTGGCCATTTTACAACTTCTCCCAAGCATTTATTGATGAGTGAATTCTGCAATGGATGAAGTACCTGGAGGCGCTATCTCATCTACCACCTTTTCTTCTACCTGTGGGCAGTATAATTGAGATTATTCCCATGTTAGATTTGAGCCATTACTGAATTCCCTTTTTAAATCTATGTTTTACTTTATGTCTTAAAACACAACTGTCTTGCACTTATTTACATTCTCATCATTTCCACCCCCAACAATAATAGCTAACCTTTTTAGGAGGAATATCTCTTTCAAAGGAACAGAGTTGTGGCTTTAGCTTTTCTTTAATCTATTTACCTTAGCTGCTTGCTATGTGACAATGAGTATTCAAACCATGACGAACAAACCAACAAAACCCAGAACAAGAAATGCCATTCAACTGCATAGGCTGATCATATTTCAAATTATGAATTGCTGTGTACTATGCATCTAAGTTCTTCAGGAAACCACTCAGAGACTGAAAATGTGAATACCATATACACGAATCCTAAGGGTCAAATGTTACATTATGTGATGGGAAAGATGAGAGTCATTGACTTTTCCCTCAAGCTAAAAGCAATCAATACCATTTGTTACTACCTGTATTAGTCCGTTCTCACACTGCTATAAAGATATTACCTGAGACTGGGTATTTTATGAAGGAAAGAGGTTTAATTGACTCACAGTTCCGCGTGGCTGGGGAGGCCTCAAGGAAACTTGCAGTCACAAGTTTGCAGTCACAAGAAGGCCCATCTTTGGGCCTTCTTTGGGCCTTCTTGAAGCAAGGCCCATCTTTCATGGCAGCAGGAGAGAGAAACAACAGAGGAAGCCACACACTTCTAAACCGTCAGATCTTGTGAGAACTCACTCACTATCAAGAGAACAGCATGAAGGAAACTGCACCATGATCCAGTCACCTCCCACCAAGTCCCTCCCTCAACACATGGGGATTACAATTCAAGATGAGATTTGGATGGAGCACAGTCAAACCATATCACTACCTGAGTTTTCTTCGAGGTATGGAGCTCTAGAACACAAAAGTTTCTATTAAACTGAGTTATAGATAGTCAGGATTACTTTCTTAAGCTATAATTCTTTTTCTTTAACTTAAATCAATATTAAATATATATGTAATATATATGTTATATATGTTATATATATGTAATATATGTTATATATATGTTATATATATATATTCTCTCTCCTCACGTGGACTCTATGGGACTATATGAGATTGATTTAATTGAAAATCATTAAGCCAATGTTTGTCAAAAAACTGTAAAGTCCGATGTTGTGCTGGGCACTGGAGGCATATGTAGATGGAGTCCTCATGCTCTGTGTGATGGCAGCCTGGCATGTGACAGGAGCAACAGAAAAATAAGCACACAAATGGCTTTAACACTATCAGGGACTATAAATACAAAAGGACATGAATGGAAAGGATGCACTGTTTTTTAAAATTTTTCTCTATATGTAGTCCACATAGAAGTTGTGCATCTTTATACACCTTTTTGGATTTTCCACTTATTTGCATCAGACTTTTCTCCAGCCTTAGTAACTGGAATGTCTTAAACTTCTTTATTCCTCACAGCCTTAGTGATTCTCTTCCAAAAACTTCTATCAGAACAAAGTCAGAGGTAATCTCTGAGGCAAAATTTAAGTGAATATGAAAGAGTTAAAACCCTTAACTGCTATAGTGAGTAATTTAAAATAACAATAATACATTTATTATTTATTTGCCATGTTCTAGGTATTTCACACATATTCAAATTCTTAACCTTGCTCACCTTCATAAAAACCCCATGAGGCATGTGTTATAACTATCACTCTTTTGCAGATGAGGAAAAAAGTACACAAAGTAGCTAAATAACTTCCCCAGGATCCCAGATAGTGCCTAGGCTAGGACATAAACTCAGGCATTTTGGCTGCTTGTTTTGGCAAGGTGTGCTCAACCATACAGAAAGTTAAAACATAGTGAATGTTCTCCTTCCATGCCTTGTTGTTTGGTAGAATAATTTTGTTATGATGTTCAGCCAGGCAGTTAGCTCTCACTGTTTAAGAGCCCCGATTTTCTATACTGCAAGGTCACGCACTGAGATGAGGAAGGCTAGCCAAACATTTCTTCAGAATAAACACTGGAGGAAGGTTAATGTCCTTACATTCCAGGATTTTACAGATAATTATGGTATTTAGTAAGACTAAGCAAGCTTAGAATGATAGAATTACAGTGGAAATCTCAGTTTTGATTAATTATGAATGTAAAAATTTTATATTTAGTATACCCACCCCGATAAAAGGCGTTGACAGTTTTTACATAGACCAGCAGGTAAGTGACATTCATAGGTAAGTGACAACAGGAAAACAGGAACTACAATAATAGAATAAATGTTGCACACTTATTAGTTACCTGAGACTACACTTTCTAGGAATAATGTAAGAGATAAGCTTGTTAGTTAACATCACACCAATAACTACACACAGTTTTAGCTCAATCTGTTAATATTAAGTATTCGTTCTTATGCTCTTTGATACCAAAAATATTTAGATTATCTAATACATGCAAAGGACTGAGCTAGGGGCTAGACATAACATGGTCAGGACAAAGTAGTATGTTAACCAGTGCTTTAGGTGACAGAATCCCTAATTAAACTTACTTAAACAAAAGAATATTATTAACATTACTGGATTCGAGGATTCTGATTATTTATCGTCCCCTTTTTCTCTCCTCTCTTTTCTACTTTCTCCTGCCTTCTCCCTTTCTTATCTCTGTTCAACTTCATTCTTAGACTTTTCCCATTTGGTGGGATCTCTGAGATAAAATGGCAATCAGCAGAGACTGGCTAGATGTTTCCTCCTCTTTCTTCTTCTTGGTTCACTACTGGTTTGTATTTTTCAGCTTCCCTCTCCCATCTTTACATCTGAGTGGGGTCATAGGGCTATTACTGCCATATGGACTGTATTTCTGCCAATGGACCAGAAGTATGCTACTTCCAGGAAGAGGCAAGCAAGGGAGAGTGTGTCTTCTCTACTATCTCTTTCTCTTTCTTCCCTTTCTGCATCAGCCTTGAAAGCAGCTAGGGGAAAGGACTACAGGATGGAGCAAGCTTGAGCTCCTACCGCATGGATCACTACTGTGCTGGCCATCAACCTACAAGGGACAGTGACAGGAGCAAAGAATACACTTTATGTGAAACCATTGAGAATTTAAAGGTATTTGGTACAGCAGTTCGACTTCCCTTCTTAATGCATGATCCTTAGATTGTCTGATCCCGGAGAAAAAGTGCTTTCGGCTAATCGTTTGAGCAAATGTCCAGTGAGCAGAGCTCTTCCCAGAACCATCAGCTCTGGCCAGATGTACGAGGCACTCTGACTTGTCAGGCTTGGTATCCACTATCCAGATCTGAAGAAAAGCAGTCAGCTTTATTCAAACACATGGATTGACTTTCCTTGGAAAGGTGTGCTTTTATTATTAGAAAAAAGGATGGTAACAAAGAGCAACAGGAAAAATATCAGTAAGCACCCACATACATAATTTTTAAAAATAGTTAACATATGTGTTTTGCATATTTTACATGTGTCCAGGCATGCCTCCAACTTGCTAGTTACTGAACTAGAAACTGGAGATACCATGGTGAGGAAGACACGCGTGGTCCCTGGTTTCATAGAATATACATTCTATGGCAAAGACGGAAAGAAAAAGAGGAAGAAAAGAAAAGAATGTGGAAAGAAGAAAGAGACGTTAGCCAAAAATAATTCTGAGACGTTATTATCCTTAGCATGCAAAAAGTTTACTTATGTAGGAGGGACCCAACCATTAGACTCCTGCCAACAACCAAAAGCAAAAGTGAAATTTATGATAGAAAAGAGGGGAAAAAGAATCTCATAATCTCAAGACACTGTTTTGCATTTTTTGGAAGGTAAACTGGTTGGCTGGAAGCTAGCAGAGACTCTAATCAGGTTACTTTGCTCTTTAATGCTCTGAATACCAGCAATTTGTTCAAGTTATTTATGGATTATCTGAAACTTCTGTAGAGTTTAGCTATACCACATATGTAAGAGACTTTCTCTGTGTCATACTGGCCAGTTTCCCTATGTTAATGCCTCTACCTTTCTTAGATTCAACCTGCACCATTTTCCTCAATTGAATTTTCTAAAAGAAAGGAAGACACCTACTAAGCTAATAGATGAATGAAATAATTGCTTATATGATTAATGCTTATCAGAAATAAGTGTGAGTCTGAGGTGCAAAAAAACGCGCTAGAGATTATATAGTCAATTATAAATATAAATTTAGTAATTTATAGCCAACTATCGGTAATGAATTCTGTGTCACAAGTCAGAATAACTTTTTCAGGTGGCGTTCAAAATTCACCTGCAACATTTGGAACCAAAATGACATGAGCCATCGAGGGTCTGATAAACTTTCTGGGCAGATCTGGTGGGGATTTATCTGAGAAGATGATTTTGAACAAGGGCTTGAGTCTCACAAATGAGGGTCCCACAACTGAATCCTTTCCTCTCCATCTCCATTCTGAAAAGATTCTGATGCTCCACCTCCTTAAAGGATGGGGGAGTCTTGTTTTATCACTAACATAAACTGGAAAGGGTATGGATGGATTGGAAGAGGGTCCTGAAATGAGAAAAGGAGAGGAGCAAAAGTGGTAGTCTGGCTCTTGGAAAGAACCACACTAGAAGCTATGGGCAAGAGTTAGTTCCCCGAATTGTAAATCAGTCAAAGCCCACTTCCTCTTTTCCTGCTGCCTCAAGCTCATGTGCTCATATTTTCAAAGGTCAGAGGGGTCAATCTTTTTGGGACCCTGGGGCATTTGGGACCCTGGGACATAGTGGTGAAACAGAAGTTTCCAACAGGTCCAGGTTGGGTCAGCTGGAAGGAGAAAAGGGGGAGAGTTGATGGTGAGTTTTCTGGAAGAGGGTTCCTTCCTGGGACTTAGAGTCAAATCGTCATTCAGCCAGTGACAGTGCATTATCACTTCCTGTTTCCAACTTGATTTAACACAGTGAGAAGCAGAGATGTAGGAAGAGCAACTCCTCCTAAGTCAAATAAAAAAGTGAGAAAAAACTGTAATGTATTTACTTGAACTCAGGTCTAGGAGTGTAACACAGGTAACTACTCTTCCACCTGTTAGTCCCTGACTAGGAAAGGTGTGTATGAGAGAGGTATGTAATAGTGTATGGAGAGTCTGAAAAAAGATACTGTATATTTTCTTCCACTGACCACATAAGCAACTTGCAATGACCCCAACATCATGGGTAGGAGATAATTACATTTATCAAGAAGCTACAGTTTCCATTTCCCTACTTGCCAGGGGTGAGACTGTAACCGACTGATATTTATCAGCTTTGTGTGAACTTACTGCAAGTTCTTACCTTATTTACCAGAAGAATATATCTAACATGGAGAGACCAAATACTTTTGAGGAAGATGGTAATATTCTAGAGCTTGAGCAAGGCGATATTAAGATACAACCTTAACTGTAAAAAAACAAAAATGCAATTATAGAACCGAGAAACAACTCCTACTACAATTACAGCTACTACTCAGTAAGTAATTTGAACACTTTGCTTGAAATTTGCCATTATGAAAGAAAGGAAAGAAAACCTCAAATGTTTCAAATTACTTCTGCTGGAAATTCCTGACTTTCCATGTGTTTCTAGTAAGGTTTGATTTTTGATGATTTTTGGAAAATAAAGAAAAAATAGAACTCAAGTAACTCATAAAAGCAAGTAATATGTGCATAATTGTGTGAGAAAAGCTAAAACAACATTTCACAGCTGGTCAGCATAAAAAATGACTTGTCGGTTTTACTTTACAGATAACACCTGTATGTCTTAAATAATACATATGTACATTATTCATTTGAAGACTTCCATATAGTATAAAATTACTGTGTATAAAAAATGAAAATCTGGCTTTTCCAGAAATATATTTTCTATAATATTAAGTAAAACAGACTCTAAAGCATATGTTATCCATCACAATAGATAGATTGTTTTGTAACATGTCCTAATCAGATAGCAGAGAAGATGGTTTCGAGTTTTATCAGGCGTTCAGTAAGGTTTCCTGAGGGGGGAAATAAAAGAATCTCTACAACACAGGTCTCTAGAAAGTTTTCTTCGTGAAGGCAGAGGATGATTGGTTTGATCCCCTCTTCTATTATCTGAGCTCTAATTAGGATTTCTATCAAGCCATCAGTGCAGCCTAGAGGGAAACGTGAGTTCAAGTGAGTACGTGTGTGACACATGCGTGCTGACATGTGTTGTGTGTACTAACGCATATGAGATTGGGTATACATGCATTAGTGCATCAGGATACATGTTCTGCCATTGTAAATATCAGAGGGGATGGACGGGGGGAAAAGAGCTGGGAAAGGAGTGAACAAGGACTATTTAAGTGTAGTTTCACCCTCTAAAAATGAAGAGTTCTTATCAAAGCTAGAATTGCTCCCGAAGTGTAACCTTTGGTTTTGAAGCAAAGCCCTCTAAAAACTAGAATTTGCAAAGCGAGTGTCAGGAAAGGAAAAAGCTCACCCAGAGTCTTTAAGGCATTCATTAATGGTCCCACGCAGTAGTGGAGCTTAGTAGTGGAGATCTTACCCGCAGAATCCACACACCCTGCTACCACCAAGGGGGCTGATACTAAAAGGGTTTCCAGTTCAGCAGGCCTAGGGTAGGGATCTTGATGTGGGAAAGAAAAACGCAGAGTCGAGGCTGTAATTCTTCTACATGGGAGGTAGGGAGCAGGTGTTTGGCTGGAAGGGAATATTTTACTGTCAGATATTTCCTCACTCTTACCATTAAAATCATAGTTTGGGGTGGGGGTAGGAAATGACACTTTAGCAAATGGAAATTTGAGAAAATACTACTTACAAGAGTATACAAATCTATGAGGTGGAGCTATATTGGAAATACAGGGCTCAGAGCACCTGCAGGAGTAATTCTCTTGCTTTTTCTCCCTCTATATTTGCATTTTCCAGTTTGTTTTCTGTGCATCTATTATACAAATGGCTCCATCTCTAAACTGTGAGTTTCCTCCAAACATTACGCATGACTTGTTCATCTTCTCATGCCTCCAGAGAGCCTCATAAAGGACTTTGCAGTAGGACCTTGACAGATACTTGTTAAGCTGGATACGTCGTAAGAGGTGTTGTAGAATGAGCCCACATTAGGAGCTGGGAGATTTAGGTTTCAGGACATTCGGCCGCTACTGGACTTTTTATCCACAGGCAAGCCATTTTGGCATCTAGGTCTCAGCTTTTCACTGTTAGATGGAGGAAGTTGCCCTACCTGATCTCCAAGATAAATTCTAACATTCTGGAGTGGTAAGTCCTTCTTCCTTTTGGGAAATGTACAATCATCTATCAATGGTATTTGTGATCATATACTGTATAAATTTCTCATTAAATATGCACAAATAAAACTGTTACTTAGAATAAGTAGCAATTAGTCTACTTAAACATGACTGCTAATATATTTTTTCTTTCTACTGTAAAAATAAAAAGTTCAGCTACTTTTATCCAGTGCAAATCACTTGCTTAGAGTGACAGTAATTTTTTCCACAACATAGCAGCTCATCCTAATCCACTAGTGTAATGTTTTAAAAATACTACCAAATGAAGTTTCTAAAGTGTCCAAGTTCTTTTCTAAAAAAAAAAAAAAAAATTATATCCAAGTAGAAATTTTCTGATATAAGAATTTACTCATTGTATTCATAAGATTTAATATTTATTTCCTTGTGAATATGTAGCTCTAGTAAATATTCTGTGCTTGATATTCATGTGTGAAACTTTATCTGTGTCTATCCTATTCTCCCCACGTATTTTTAAATATTTGCATAAACTGAGTACACATGTCACTATGTAATTAAACTTAAAGGCATAAAATTCAGATTCAGGATTCAGCATAGTGCTTGTGAAAGAGGAGAAAAACTTCATTAAGAAGAAAATTCAAGCTGGCACTGTGTCTCATGCCTGCAATCACAGGTAATCAGGAGGCTGAGGTGGGAGAATCCCTGGAGGCTATGAGTTCAAGACCATCAAAGAAAAGATAATCTGTTGGAATTTCCTGAAATCCTAAATAACAAATCTGTCTTTGAAAATAATTGTAATTAACAAATTTTAACCACTGTCGCCTAAAATGCCTATCAAAATGATTCTTTGACATGAACAATGACGAAATGATTAAATTTATTGAATCAAGGTTGTATTAGAAATGGTGCTTAGTGCCAAATATTGGACCCTTTTTCACTGTAACTGGTTAAAAAGATAAAGTTTGCTATTTGTAGGTGCAAAGCAAAGACCACGAGAGAGAATGGTTAAGGCAAGGCTCACAGGCCTTGGTGAGATAGAGAATATGGCTGGAACCTCCTATGCTGACCCATCCAGCTGTTAGCATTGGCCTGGGGCAACTGGCCACTGAGAGGCTGAGGCATTGTGGAATTATAAAGCAATGGCCTTCAGCAATAGTAAATTCCTCCCTGGTCCTGATGTATTTCAGAATCCATCAGGGGCTGTTGGGTGTCCCTAAGGCCCCAATGATTTCTTAATTTCTAAGTTAAAACAAGATGTTACATTGACCCCTCACAAGACTCCAGAGGGTGTTTCAGGCACAGGGCAATAGGCATTGTTGCCAGGCAATTCTGAAATTCCTTCCAGAGGATTATTGCCACTCTAAGCACCTCCATCCAGCCCTGGACCCTGATCTTTCCGTCCCAGAGAAAGTGATCAGCTTGGGGCCCTGCTATCCCCTGCCCTGCTATCTCCAGCATCACCAAAGTTAAACGTAGAAAAAGATGGAAACGTACAAATTACACCACATTCATTTTTCACTGGTGCATTAGTTAATTAGCCTGAAGAATAATTTGGGGATGGAGGGAGCTCTTACCCCTACAGTAGAAGGTAGACCTTCTAACCATAAGTCGTGGGGTTTTCCTTCTCCCTTCTTAGAATGATAATTAGAGGAAACAAAGAGGTCAGAGAAAATGAGTAGCAGTGATAATGCCGCCCGCGTACTAATAAGCACCAACCTTCCTTCCGCCGAAAGTATTCTTTTTCTTCTAAAAGGAATTTCTGAGAATGAAGGCAGGTCAAGGCCTATGGCGATAAGCGGTTGCTTTAGAAGAGACAAAAACAGATATAGGAATTTATTATTAAATTATCATTTAAGCAAAGAAATAAAAGTGTGAGCGCAAAATTTTAAAATCTTTCGGGAAAAAAAAAAATGAGTGGAATTCCCTTTAAGAGTTAACTCTTTCCCGCCCTGCCTTTTTAGAGCAAAGGAAGTTCCAGTGGGCTGGGATTAAGGGACAGATTGTGGACCCTGACGAAAGGCGTGCTGAAGAAAGCTGGGAGCCCGCGGTTTGCACACAAAGCTGCGGAGTTCCCAAGCGGCGGGCGTTGTTGCCCCGGGGTTCCGCGAAGCGCCAGGAAGCGCCCTGGGCTCACCTCTCTGCTGGTGGCCGGGAGAAGTTAGTCACCCGGAGCCCGAATCCGGCGAGCGTCAAAGTACTAAGAGGCTGGAGAATGGGGAGGGAGGAAACCGGGTGTCGGGACGGAGGGGAGGAAGCGAAGGGAACGCGGTGGGTAGGGGACGCATGTGAAGCTGAAAATCTCTGGCTGGTGGAGTTGGACGATCTGCGAGGTCAGAGCGCACGGGTGTGCAAAGAGGAAAAACTTGCGGCAGGAACTTCCCACCGAGGGCGAGGAAAGCAGGAAAGAAGGAGGCAGGGAGAGACTTGAAACGTCTCAATAACTTTAAAAACACACCAGAACACCCGTTCAGGAGATGAGGTAAGCCAAGGTTAGCCAACCCCAAATGGTTGTGAAATATCAGACAGACCCGGAGCCGCTGTGGCTTTAAAAGTGGCCAAGGAAATCTGTTTTTCTTGCCCCATTACTTTTTTTTCCCCCTCGTCCCTCCTTCCACCTCGCCGGGTCCCAGTCCCTTTCTCCTACTTCGTCTCCCTTTCCTCGATCACCCTCCTCTTTTGCCCTCCCCCATCTGATTAGGCGCGGTCTGGGAAGGGTGGGAGTGGTGGGGGAAGCTCTCCCTTTAAGAGGCAGCGTGCAGTGACGAATTGTTGAAATTGCCATTGCAGGATGGCATGCCGCTATAAATTCATTGTTCCACCTCCTCGCATCTTCACAGCGCTCGCGCTGCTCTCGGCGCTCGCAGCGGCCGACTGGGGATGACGGCGGGCAGGAAGACACCGCAGCCGAAGGGACACAGACACGCCGCTTCACCAGCTCGCCTCAGGCTGCCCCCTGCATTTTTGTTTTAATTTTTATGGCTTTTTCCCGTCTCTTTCTTCCCTTCCTCCTAGTCCCAGCAGAGCCAAGGAAACCCACAAAATAAGAAAGGAAGTGGGCCCCGGAGCTTGGAACCTCCGCAGCCGGCTTGTCCAGCGCAGCGCGGGGGCGGGAGGCTGCGCGCACCAGTTGCCAACCCGGTGCGCGGTACCTTTCCTTACTTTTCTTGGAACAGCGATCGTGCCTGCATTTGGTGGTTTTTTGGTTTTTGTTTTTTTCCTTTTCCCTTATTTGCTGAATCTCCACTATCCGACTTTTTTTTTTTCTTTAATCTTTTTTTTTTTTTTTTTTTTTTCCTCCTCTTCTTTCTGGAGCACGAATCCAAACATTTTCCCAAGCAACAAAGAAAAGTTCGCACTCTGGCACCGCAGCCGGGACAGGCTGGCGCTGCTGCCGGGCCCCCCTCCCTCCGACACTTGACTCAATCCTGCAAGCAAGTGTGTGTGTGTCCCCATCCCCCGCCCCGTTAACTTCATAGCAAATAACAAATACCCATAAAGTCCCAGTCGCGCAGCCCCTCCCCGTGGGCAGCGCACTATGCTGCTCGGGTGGGCGTCCCTGCTGCTGTGCGCGTTCCGCCTGCCGCTGGCCGCGGCCGGCCCCGCCGCAGCACCTGCCCAGGATAAAGCCGGGCAGCCTGCGACTGCTGCAGCAGCCGCCCAGCCCCGCCGGCAGCAGGGGGAGGAGGTGCAGGAGCGGACCGAGCCTCTCGGCCACCCGCACCCCCTGGCGCAGCGGCGCAGGAGCAAGGGGCTCGTGCAGAACATCGACCAACTCTACTCCGGCGGCGGCAAGGTGGGCTACCTCGTCTACGCGGGCGGCCGGAGGTTCCTCTTGGACCTGGAGCGAGATGGTTCGGTGGGCACTGCTGGCTTCGTGCCCGCAGGAGGAGGGACGAGTGCGCCCTGGCGCCACCGGAGCCACTGCTTCTATCGGGGCACAGTGGACGGCAGTCCCCGCTCTCTGGCTGTCTTTGACCTCTGTGGGGGTCTCGACGGCTTCTTCGCGGTCAAGCACGCGCGCTACACCCTGAAACCGCTACTGCGTGGACCCTGGGCGGAGGAGGAAACGGGGCGCGTGTACGGGGATGGGTCTGCACGGATCCTGCACGTCTACACCCGCGAGGGCTTCAGCTTCGAGACCCTGCAGCCTCGCGCCAGCTGCGAGACCCCCGCGTCAACACCGGAGCCCCATGAGCGTCCTCCGGCGCACAGCAATCCGGGCGGACGCGCAGCACTGGCCTCGCAGCTCTTGGACCAGTCCGCTGTCTCGCCCGCTGGGGGCCCAGGACCGCAGACGTGGTGGCGGCGGCGGCGCCGCTCCATCTCCCGGGCCCGCCAGGTGGAGCTGCTTCTGGTGGCTGACGCGTCCATGGCGCGGTTGTATGGCCGGGGCCTGCAGCATTACCTGCTGACCCTGGCCTCCATCGCCAATAGGCTGTACAGCCATGCTAGCATCGAGAACCACATCCGCCTGGCCGTGGTGAAGGTGGTGGTGCTAGGCGACAAGGATAAGAGCCTGGAGGTGAGCAAGAACGCGGCCACCACACTCAAGAACTTTTGCAAGTGGCAGCACCAACACAACCAGCTGGGAGATGACCATGAGGAGCACTACGACGCAGCCATCCTGTTTACTCGGGAGGTAGGTCCAGCCGGGATGCGGGGGTCCCAGCGCTGGGATTAGGAGGTAGGTGGAAGGGAATCTTGCTGGTAGCTTTGCTGCTGCTTCAAACCTCCTGCAGCTGTGGATGTGTTTAACTGCTTCTTGCAGGAAATCCAACCAGCCTTCAACTCTGCTCCTGTATTCAGGTTAGCCCCGCAGAAATTTTTGCCTGAAATGACAAGACCTGCTTAGGTAATGATGAAGACTCAGTCATGCTGTATGTCATCTAGTCTGAGGTGCTGTGGCATAGGAACGTAAACATAAGAAGGCACTAGGATGCTTGGGGAAATGATACAGTTGAATGGGGAAAAGAAAGGAAAACAAAGTTGCCTTTGGGATCATGGGTCTTCTTTCCAGTGAAAATAAAATATAACTTTGTTCAACCTAGTGGAAAGGGCTAGATGGTTCATTTACGGTAGTCACTGTTATCCGATGACCTTCTTTTATAAGTGTCCACACCTTTTTACTAGAATCCCTTGTGTTACCCAAAGGATGGGAAAAGTTTCTCAAGGACTCTTTTTCCGGGTTGGATTCCTAATGGAGTTCTTACATGTCCACCTTGGAATCTCAGTTCCTGGGAAGGAAGGAATGTGGGCGGGCCAGCAGGGTATAGAGACCCAATCAGATGAGAGGACAAACTTGTGAGGTTCCTTAACAGCTCCTTTGCTTAGTCGACCAGTACCAGTGCGTCGCAAGCACTGCCTAGGCCAACTCCGCCGCCTAGGGAGGGTCACATCCCGTTTGCGTGTTTGGGTTTTGGATGAATATGTTTCCGAAGCCCCAGTGCAGAAGATCTGGGCGAAGAGTCAAGACAGGAGGAAGAAATGTTTTCTCAGCATTTCCCCCTTTTAAGAAAGATGGTTATGGGGAAGGAAAGAAAAGGATCTTTAAGGCTCAGAGGCTCTGGGAGGAACGCAGTATCTATTTACACAGTATTTGACCACCACGTTAGTGTGACATTTACACAAAAAGTCTGGGTTGGTTTGGGGCCTGGCTTGCGCATAGTTCTAAGCCTCAGTTGTCACAACTCTACTTTGATTGGCAGTTTTAAGTCGTGCCTCTTAAATGCCTGGTAAGAGCTGACTTCTAAAGCTCATTCTTTAAGTGTTTCAGACCCATCCAGAATAAAGGATTACAAACTTTGAAGTATTATGTAAAATCATGGTATGAAATGAAGCAAACAGAACAAGGATAGGAAATTAAATGATGGATTGCAGGAGACTTTAGAATCACACAGCTTCACTACCTAATTCTTCTATTTTTACCAAGGCACCCCTGGTATGAAGGAAAAGTGTTGATAAATTTGGACTAGAGAAACACTTGTGGTTCGTAGGGTGGACATTAATGTAAACCACATGTAAACAAAGATGCTGGAGGGCGGCAGTTTAGGGAGAGCCAGGCAGTGCTCAGTGCTGTGCACAATGGAAAAAATTTTTTTCCTCATTAAGTGATTTTCTGGAAGCCATCCTTTAATTCCTCTGCACAACATTAGTCTTTGAAGCGGTAGAACATTCATTTGTAGCCTTCCTTGCAAAGCGAAAAGCAAAGTTCTGTAAAACTATCCATTTCTTGTTTGGTTTCCAAGCTCCTTTTTTTTTTTTTTTTTGGTAAGCAACTTTCCATATCTAGGGTTCCTTGCTCTGCTACATCACAAGAGGATGCCAAGAAGGAGGCTTTGGAGAGTTTATGGAAGGAGGTTCTCTAAAGGAAGAGGAAGAAATACTTTTGTAAGCACATTGCACCAAGAAGTGGGTCATTTTAGTAGTTCACTTTCATTTTTAAATACAAATCCACATTTCATAATTTTAAAATAAATAAAAATTAATAGAAGGTCTGTTACTTCCTACCTCCTGCCCCATAATGTTACTAATTGTTTCCCAGAAAACAGGAAACTACTCAGTGATTCTCAACGATTTGTCGATTACTTTTTCTGAATTTGTTTTTTGTTTGGATAGTTAACTGTCCCTATTTTTCCAAAGTCTGGAACCTAACAGCATATTTTAAATAGATAAAAAGCAAGGGACAAATAAATTAATGGCCCATCTTAATTTTTGTCAGTATTATAAGAACATGCATTTTTCAAACTAGACTACACACGGAAAATATTTCACATGGGCCCTCTCTGGCCTCCTTGCCAAGCAGAAGCATACTTTTAGGAAAGCAAATTTCATTTGTGGTTGGCCCTGTAGTATATACATCTAACTTCACAGGAAGCAAATATTTGAAATGCGTGTGTATTTTCAATAGATGCGCCCAATTTGAAAGAGTGTTACTAAATAGGGGGCTGAAAAAAATATTTCAAGGCATTTATGCAGCATTCATTTGAGAGTATTTCACAATGCAAAGTTAATCTCTGCCTAATACTTCAGAGCATAAAAAAAAAAAAAAAAAGAAGGCTGGAGAAGAGATGATCTGAGGTCTTCCATCTCATGAAAATCAAGTATCTTAAGGCCCGAAAAAAAACTTTCAGAGCTATTTCCTTTTCAATGAGAAATACCCAGAGTTGGCACCAAGATTCTACTTTTACAACTCTGTTTTGAATGTAAGAAGTGCGTTGCTTAGCAGCCAGACGCCAAGCCATGAAATCCATGTTTTGATGGGCTCTGAGTCCTGTTCAAATTTAGGTCCAGATGTCTTCTCCTAAATTGCTTGTTTTTCAAGCATGAAGCGAATGTATGAGGATATGTTTTCGACCTCTGTTTACTAGCTGAGGCCACCTTGAAAGTTGCATCTGGAAGTCAACAGAATAGAGCTAGTAACTCATTTATCAAAGGAACACACTTCACTGTCAGGACTGTACCCGGCACTCCAGTACTATTCTAATTAGAGAGAGTTAGCACCAGTCAATTTCCTGGCATAGAAGCTGTTTTCATTCTGAAATGGCACTAATGCTGGAATTCACACCACTTCTGCCATCAAACAGTAGAAATCCAATCTCCCCAGGATTTAACTTTGCTTTCCAGAATCCTTTCCTTGTTCCGGACGTCCTCTTTTATTTTAAGATAATTTCTTCAAAGACAAACTCTTACAGTCGTCTTTTTTTTTTTTAATAGACCATTTGCTCTTTAGAAACAAAAACCTACCTGCTTGATAACAAAATAGGAAATTGTTTAACATCCCTTCACCCCTGCATGAAAGCAGCAAAAACCCTGACTCTTTCATAGATTGAAACATTGAATTAAAATCGAACCAACTAAGAGATTGTGCAATATAAAAAGCTAATTCCTTTTCCTTAACTATCAAGATGCCAGTTGATAGATCACTGTCTCAGCTAAAACTCTCTACATTCTGCCTTACAGTGCTGGGGCCGGGTCACCACACAGGGCATTTCTCCTTTACCACGTGGCTCCTGGCTTGATTCTGACAACAGGGGGCACTAGAGGAAGACCAGAAGTTTGGAAGAGGGAGAAGGATGTGCTTTTCCTTATTGGCTTGCTGCCTAGACTGACTAATTCGTCACATATTTGAGTTGAAATCTCTTTTAAAGTCAAAAGTGAACCCTTGTCAAGGTATCAGAGCCTATAGGTCAATCCTAATCAATAAAAGGATAAATAACTCAGAAATGGGGAGACTGTAGCAGACTAAGCAGCTCTAGTTAACATTTTTGCAATAAACTGTGAGGGATGTTATGCAAATCTAAAATCTATGCAGTACCTGCCTATATGCACCTCCTACGTGTGAGACTCATGTAGGCAGTTTTAGGTAGCGAGATAGAAATACCTGCTCCCTGCCCACTAGGCATGTCCCTGGCAGAGAGGAAACAGATACGTGTGGAAATCGCTCTGATGTTAGGAAAACTCTGATAACTCCCATGCTGAAATATAAACAAAGTCTGTGAAAGGAAAAGGAAGGTAACAGTTAATTCTGCCTATGGACCTTTATATAGGTCTCATTGCAAATGTAGAATTGAATTAATCCTCAAAGGATTGATAGATTGGATTTAGATTCAGCCAGCTGTTATTGGGCATTTCTTATGTACTATCCATGGCCACAAACTATTTTACAATTAATCATTTCAACAATCTGCAACCATTGTATAATTATCTTGACAGAATTCATGTGAAGAGAAACAAAGATAAACTTCTTAGAGTAACAGCTAACAAATGGCAGACAGAGAAGACAGTCCTGTCTAGTACTCTGTAAACTAAAAGCATTATCACAAATTTATTCAGACCTTTAATATGCTCCTCATAGGCAGAGAGGGATTAAAAAGTAACCCCTTTCTTAAGAATCTATTCCTGGAAACAGAGAGGGAAATGGTCATTGCTGTACAGCATGATGACTCTTACAGTAGATGTATTTTTCAGGTATTATGGAAGTGCATTAGAAGGTTGCCACTCCATCTGAGTTCAATTTTGCAGAAAGAGTGAGAGTTAGCCAGATACATAAGGAGGAGATAGCATTGCAGACATCAGCAAACCATCATGTTCAATGGGGAATGGTAATAGATTAGTTTGGAGAAGATAATAACAGCCCAACTATGGGAAAAAAACTACACACTATGTCTATTAGTCTGTTCAGACCACTGTGACAGAATATTGTGAAATGGGTGGCTTTAACAACAGAAGTATATCTTCTCACAGTTCTGGAGGCTGGAAAGTCCAACACCAAGGTTCCAGCCAAATTGATTTCTGGTGAGGGCTGTCTTCCTGCCTTGTAAGTGGCCACCCTCTCTCTAAGCCTTTCCACTGCCTGCAAGTAGAAACAGAGAGTGAACACTCTTGGGTATCACTTCTTCTAAGGACACGAATCCTATCTGATCAGAGTCCTGTCCTCATGACCTCATTTAACCTCATTTGCCTCCTTACAGGCCCTATCTCCAAACAGAGGAGTTTTGAGAGGACACAATTCAGTCTACTCCACCATGCTGACAAGTTTTAACTGTAAATTAAGTGCAATGGCAATCATTGGAAAGAACATTAGCAGGAAGACAGCAATGATCAGACTTGTGTTCTGAAATGAGCCTTCTGGTCTAAGTA